ACATATCCAATTCCCAATTCTAATCCAGACAAAGGCTTCCTATGTGTTTTCATCAAGCAAGGCCAGAAATATTTGATTGGAGTCCTGCATATTCTGTTCAGAACATTCATTAAGAGGTTGCAAGACTCCAATTTCACGTCCAATATGAATATTTGGAGAATAAATAAATAAGTGTGTATAGAAAATTGTTGTGGCCCAGCAGGAGCCGTTGGAGCTGCTGATGGACTCCGATAGCGAGGAACTCTATGAGTCTGCTATGGAAAATGTGGAGGACCCTGGGCAGGGTTCAGACTCAGAGCAGAGACCAGAGAGGCTGGTTGGCCACTAGGAGGTGCCTGAGGCATGGAGCAGTGGGGAAGATCAAAGGGAGTTTGTCCCTGATGCCAGCCAACGGAGGGCGGAGAAACAGAGTCAGCAGTTACGGAGACAGACTCATAAGAGATAATCAAGCCCAGGTGGTTGTGGCTTGGCCCCTCCCAAAAGAGTATATAAGAAGAGACTTTGGGAGGAGTCCTTTTGCAGGACACAACTATTCGTACTAATCTGGAGAACTCCTTGTCTGGTCTGCATTGTGTTCCCGTGTCTGTTGGAGTCTGGGTTGCTGCCAATGTCTTGCCAGTGAGTCGTGTCTGGGCTTTCAGCCAACAGGATTATAATCACTGTGAATAAAGAGTGGCAAACAGCTAAACTTGTGTCTGCGTTCATTAGGAGGAGGAGGAGGAGGAGGAGGAGGAGGAGGAGGAGGAGGAGGAGGAGGAGGAGGAGGAGGAGGAGGAGGCTTTGTGAATCTGTAATCTGTATCTGTGACCTGGTACATCCCTATTCAACCTGCCTTAATATTACCAGCACAAATAACAATCATAATGCGAGCTACCACTGGCTGAGATAAAAGTGATAATTGTGTAATGATGGTGGTTTTGAATATTCTTAACTTTGGATGAATTCTGATCATTAAGGAAAGGAAGATTTCTTTTAAAAAATCTGTTCCCACAGAATAAGAGTTAGAATGGTCCTTGGAGTTCTAGTCCAATCCCCTGCTCAAGCAGGAAACTGTATACCATTTCAGACAAGTGGTTATCCAATCCATTCTTAAAAGAGTTACAGTTATAGTTCCCAGAATCCTCAGCCAGTATTGACCATGCATGTTGGAATTCCAGAGGTAGCCTACACAGGTTGGGAAAAGTTATCCTCAGTGACAGTCACTTTGAATGAGTGAAAGCATTTTCCATTCAAAACAGTTTGCATCATTTATGTCTATCACAACAAACAGATCAGGAATGAACAGTTTGTTCTCTTGGTTCAGGTTTATGAAATTGTACTTTGCCAACTTAGATATCTGAACTTATTAGTAAAAAGGATGTTTCTCCTTGACTTCATGAGTACTATCTTTAAATTTTAAACAATCAATAAGGAAAATGGAAAATACAACAGAAAATAAACACGTCCCCATAGCAACTATAACAAGAGATATTGATGCTATGGAAGTTGCAGGTAGAGTATCTCCCCACAGGATATTATCTTAGTGGCTTCCTAAGCATAAGCTCCGTTCCTGTTTTTCTTGTTACAAAAAGATACTACATAAATTGTTTATTGATTACTGAATGAAAGAGGTAAAACTAGTATCTGAAGAAGCACACTCTGTTTAGCATTGGATTTAACTCTGTCACCAGACAAATGAATTTATTGCATCACTCTACTCCTTTCAAGCCTTGCAAGCTAGTAGCAAAGTCCAAATCTTGTATGAGTAAATCCAGTAAGTATATCATGCACTGAATAAAAGATACACATATCAGGCTATTTGTCTGGTGTTATTTAATCTGACTCTGTGTTGTAAAGCAAGGAACATTGTTTTATATCAGCAGGTATGTGACATTCATAGGACTCAGGAACTAAAGTCCTAACTGAGACATCACTCAGGAACTGAATGGAGACTGTCTGCCTGGAAACATATTCATCATGCTAGTTTACACCTGCAATGGCTTGATCTAAATCAGGATCCCCCTTTGTTTATAATATATCTTATATCTCCTGCAGCAGGTAACTTATCCCTTCCATCGAATGCTGTTAAGAAGCCAGCTGAGATGGTCCTCTGCCCCATTAGTGTCATGATAAATCAAGACCTCACTACAGAGGGCCTACATCTTTCTTCTACACTGAGGACAAATTTCACTGTATTTCTATAATGCATTTCTTCCCAGGTACGCACCAAGCAAAAGAAAAAGTAGGGGAAATGGTGTGCAACAATAGCTAATAAAAGAACCCTATAAAAAAGTACAGTATTAATTCTACAATTGTTGTAAAAATTGCATGTTTTCCTATATGCTTTTAAAATACATAAGATTCTGCATTAACATACTATCATACTATACTATTCTAACAGACACAGTGGTGGGATTCAAAAAAATGTACTACTGATTCTGTGGGTGTGCCGTGGCTTGGTAGGCATGGCTTGGTGGGCATAGTTTGGTGGGCGTGACAGGGGAAGGATACTGTAAAATCCCCATTCCGTTCCCAGTTCAGGGCAAAGATACTGCAAAATCTCCATTTCCACCCCACTCCAGGGCAAGGATATTGTAAAATTCCCATTCCCTCCCCACCCCACTAACCTGCTTTCCAGCTCCATTCTCCTGTGCAGGGCAACAGAAGATGACCCAGACCGAGCTGGGACTCGGGAAGCAGCGAATAGATGGGGGCGGGGCCAGTCAGAAGTGGTATTTGCTGGTTCTCCGAACTACTCAAAATTTCCACTATCGGTTCACTAGAACTGGCTGAATACCACCTCTGAGTCTATATCATGCTTTTGCATAATTAAGGTGACCAGATGTCCTGATTTTGGCGAGACAGTCATGATTTCTAACAATTTGTCCCATGTCCCAGGCCGTTTTTAAAAAGTCCCGATTTTCTGGCTTCATGTTGAAAGCCCAGTAGATTTGCTTAAGAAATCCTAACCGGGGCAAGACAAAAGACACTCTGTCTAACCTCTCTCTCTCTGTCTCAGTACTTTCATTGAAGATATTAAAACGTTAAAGCAAGAAAACAGAACCCCACTCCCCCCCATCCCTTTTACCTCCTTTTATAAGAAAAGATGACCCAGTACCATAGAGCTCCAGGAAATACTTTGCTAGAGAGGTAGCGAGTGTTTCTTCCTGGATTTTCCGGAGGGGAGGGGCACGGAGGTTGGAGGTCGGCTCGTGTGAGAAAAATGGTGAAATATTTTTCTTTTCTTTGAAAAATATTTCCCTGGGACTAATTTCACCATTTTAATTTGCTCAGTTCTTTGTATTAACATCTACATCATTCTGGATTGACTTGGAGCGCCTGCCTGCTGGTAAGTGAGCTGGGTTTTTTTCTTTTATTTTTTTAATGTATTTTAAAATAATATTTTATTTATTGTGCATAGGATTTTTTTAAATAGTTTTATTCTGTGTGAATTCTTTTTTTAAGTTGTCTTAGACTATTTAAAAAAAGATTCTATCCAAAATAAATTGAAGTGAAACCATTTTGAAAAATTCTATGCACAATACTTTGAAATATATTGTGCATAGAATTTTTAAAAATAGTTTTACTTCAATTTATTCTGTGTGGAATAGTTTAAAATGTTTTATTTCAATTTATTCTGTGTGGATTATTTTTTTAAATTGTCTTAGACTATTTAAAAAAAGATTCTATCCAAAATACAAAATGCCAGCTGCAGTTATTCACTTAAGAACTGTGACAAGAAAGGTGGTATAGTGACCAAAGTTACAATGGCATTGAAAAAAGTGACTGATGACCATTTTTCACACTTAGCGACCATTTTCACACTTAGCGACCGTTGCAGCATCCTCATGGTCACACAATCAAAATTTTGATGTTTGGCAACAGTTACAATTTATATTTGTAAATTGTAGTTATGTTGAAATAAAAAAATATTACAATACTATTTTTGCGTTGTATGAAAAATTTTGTTGCTCCGTATAAAATTTTTAATCAAGCCCCCCCCCCCCCGGGTCAAAGGTGTCCCTCTTTATCAATCTGAAAATCTGGTCACCTTATGCATAATGTAACATTGAGCCAATATGAAGTAGTCAGCAAAGATTGCATCGACTAAAAATGTACAGGCTTAAACCTTTTACTTAGCCATGCAACTCATGGGATTTTGGGGGAGCCTTAGCCCACACCTATTTCACTGCATGTTTGATAAGATAAAATGGCAGAAAGGGAATATTATGTACTGAATGGCCTAGAAATGAACATATTAATATTGCTCAACTTCCAGAATCATTCACTGTTAGTCATGTAAGGAAGAGTTGATGGGAGTTATATTTAGCAATAGTCAAAGATAGTCTTTTCTGCTGCCACTTTCTGAAACTTCTAGAAGAATCAACTCTCAAGAAATCATTCAAAAGGTGCTGTATGCACCTGAAACTAATACAATTAAACAAACAAAACCTGGTAAAGATAGAAAAAGCAAAAGCAAAATGGCTTTTGGGATATTCTGGTATTTGTGTGTCTATTTTGATAGCATCAAATTATTTTTACACACTCATCACCCAGCTAATGAAATGAATAATAAACAAACACCATTATTACTATCATAACTGCAGCTTCATGCCTTAACTTAATCACCTGAACAATCACCCATAATTACAGAACTGGGTCCTGTAAACTTTTGATTTGACAATTTTGGCATTATTTTATTTGCATAAAGGGTTTTTTGTGTGTCATATGAGTGTTTTGTTTAAATACAAAGCCAAGGAAGACAAAAAGATCCTTGAAAATAGAGGCAGAAAAAAAATAGCTCACAGAGCTGCTATAAAACCATGTGTTAGTTCTGAAACCTGCTGAGAGTCTGTCCCTTTGCAGCAATTGCCTGTTTTGGTTCCTCAGCTAAGCTTTTCCCCCCACAGTTCCTATTAATTGTAGGAAGATATTAAATAAAACACATATGGATTCCTGAGCCAATGAACAAATCCATCAGAAGGAAAAGAATATATGTAGTTCCCTCTTGGGTTTCTTACCTGGGTTGTATAGTGAGAGGATTGAAATCTTTCCCCAAAGTAATACACTGGTCTGGCTCTTGTGCAATTCTTGGATAGGGTTGATGTGATGCTCCCTGACCAATCATGAACTCCTTCAAGAGCTTCAGTTTGCTGACATTGTAAGAAATTGGCTCTCTTGCTCCATCTCCAAGCACATCCATGTGGTGGGAGTCCAATTCCATATCTATGTTTCTGGTGATTGCACCATCATCTTTATTGTCCAGGTACATAGTTCTGGTACCAGATGAATTGTGTTCTTTTCTCTAAAAAAAAGGATATAGACTAAATTAGACACTCATTTTCTGTTGATCTCTTCTCTGCTGATTCAATGTGTTTTGCCATTTGCCATAAAAGTATCAGTACAACTGCGGGTTTGGTCATTCTTGGGTTTTCTTGTGATCCAAAGTATTATTTTAATAATACTCCATTGGTAATATCTTTAGTTAATTTAATAAACTGCACAACAGGTATATATTAAGAACTGTTTTTATGTTTTTATGAATCATTGGAGCTTCCATTTTTATGTACTATATTTTTTTATGTAAACTGGTAAGCCATACACTTTATTTATTCCATTTCTCTTGCTATCCATCTCAGTCAAGCTTATAATTCAGGAAACATATTACAATTACAAATTTAAAAATCATTTTAAAGCATTAAAACCAGTAAAAAGCAGTAAAAACATTTTGCACAAGAGCAAAATATTTGGTCAGTTAGTAATATGGGCAGAAAACGGGGCCATTGGCACATGTGGCGCCCCAGGAACATAGCCAGGGTTTTAAGACCTTACACAAAACTAAGAGGCTGGGAACATTCTAATCTCTGAAGGGAAGATGTTCCATAACACAGGGGGCAGTGTGGAAAAAGACGGACTTCTACTTCACCTAGTTGAATGGGTAGAGACTCTTGAAAAAAAGGCAATTCCTCAGGTACCCTAGTCCTAAATCATGTAAGGCTCTATAAGTAATCACCAGCACCTTAAATTGTATCTTGAATTGTATACACCAGTAACCAGAGCAGGTCACACAGAAATGGTGTTATATGTGCCATATATCTGGTATCATTTACTACTTGTGCAACCACATACTGCACCAGTTGGAACTTTTGAATGGTCTTCAAGGGCAGCCTGATGTAGAGCATATTATAGTAGTCTAATCTGGAGGTTACAAGGGCATGAAATCCAGTCCAAATTGCAGTCATGAGTCTCTGGTCCTATTTCTGCCTCTCCTTTCTGATGCCCCTCCCATGTCCTCATTGTCCCCTTCATCTAAGGAGCAATCTAGACAGGCTTTACTATTTCTTGAAGCAATGTTATCAAGTGAGAAGAAAGAGGAGGAAAAGAGCTCTAATCAAAACAATTACCTTTGAGTGAAAAGAAACTACAAACCACAGTGTGAGTTTGAAAAACATGGTCCAAGCCAGTTATATGCCTGACATAAACATGGAGAATTAAACAAAACAAAAAAAAAGACCAGCATCTCCATTCTCTGCCACTAGAAACACCTGAAAAAATTCTATCTGCATGACATATAATTTATATATATATACACATACATACATATATACATACATACATATACAGATAACACACACACACACACACACACATATACTAAATAACAATATGTGAAGAAATTGAACTGACTTGGGTTTCTGTTTAAAATAGTACAGTTCCTAGATGTATAGGGCGGGGCATAACCTTTTCCTAGGGGGTCACAGCAACACTTGTAATAACAACACAAATAATTCATACACCATTCGAAAGCCCATCAAAAACTGAGTTTATTGACACGATTTAATAGTCAGTATGACCACCATTAGCCCTTCGAACAGCATTCAAACGAGGTGGATAAGAACACAACAAATCTTCAAACAGTTCCGTTCGATTTTCCAGATTTTTCAACACAGTTTCCAAATTCATTCTCAAAGTTTCAACCGAATATCGATTTTGACCTTGCTCCTGAATCATCAGAGCTTCCACTTCATCCTTAATTATGGCCCCAATGTTCTCTGCCGGATTGTCCTTTGATCAACTCGTTTTCCACGAATTTGAAGGATTTCTTGGGCCACTTTTCGGTTTCCTTTTTGTTGTTTGCGACTGCCAGTTGCAATGATGGCTTTGCTTTCTTGGGACAGTTGCAGAGGACGCCCTTCTCCAAATTTTGTGAAACATTCTTGGGCTGTTTTGTTCCAATTATCAGTAACCCAATCCGGATGACGTTTCAATTTGTTTGCAATCCATTTTCGATTGATAAACGTCGCTCCAGCATCGCGAGCCTCTCGAAAGGCAATGCATTTTATTCTGTCAATGATCCTTTGTTCTTCCGAATCGAATTTTCCAGCCATTCTTAAAGCAAATTTAACATTTAATAGCTCATTCAATTCAGTTTTTTATGGGCTTTAAAATGAGGTGTTGTGGAAGTTGTAAACTGCTGTCGATCTTGCTGTGACCCCCTAGGAAAAGGTTATGCCCCGCCCTGTACATGAGTTAACAATTGAACTAATCAATTCTTGAATTGATTCCCATTGCTAAATATTTGATTAACATCCACCTTACAAAGCAGCATTAGATATACCTTTAAGCAATGATCCACAGCAGAAATCACCATAAAAGGCATGAAATGCCATAAATATGGAATTTGTAATCTCTTTCACCTACATTATGGTATGAGGGGTAACAATGTGCATTTTTACAAACAAATAAGCATACACTGACCTCTTGTGGCAGGCATACATCACATTTAAGCTGGTATTTCAGTAAAAGAAATGGGTAAATTAAATCTGTGCAAAGTGCGTCCAGTTAGAATATATATGATACAAAAATACCAATCCTTTGTATTTAACAGTGTTTACTTCTTGGAAGTAATAAACCAACATCTGTCCATGTTAAGAGCATGGTTTACTTATCCAGCATCATCGGTAGCTGTAGTATTCTCCTGGGAAGTATCAGTAGATGTTAGGTTCCTACACTAAGAAGTTTGCCATGTAAAGATCACTGGGAATTGCTATCCAGTGGATTTAAAGCAAAAGTGGGGAGGCATCTCTACTGCTCCATGTCACGTTGTGAGCAATTCTCGAATAAGCACATGAAAAAGAACAGACTTCCATATATTGCTATCAGTTTTTCAGGGTATGAGGAGTTGAACAGCTAGGAATTTGGAGAGGAAAAATCTCTTCTCATGAGGGAGGGAGGGAGGGAGGGAGGGAGGGAGAAAATCTGTTTAACAGAAGACACCAAAAATATTATATTCTTAGTGCATGCACAGAGTATATTCTTTTTAAATGAAAAGATTTGAAGATATCAGGATTGACTTCTGTCTGAGGGGCTAGAGTAAAACTGCCTGTTCCTTCCAAGCAACTGACAGTGTAATCTTGATGATACTTAATCCAGTATGAGTCTACTCGGATGTGCAGGTAATATTAAATTCTTTAAAAGAGCAATGACTCAGAATTGGTCAGGTCCAAGGAGTTCTTTTTAGTACTTGAAAAGTTAAATGCTTGTCCAAATATATAGATCTGTTGCAATCCACTTCCTTTAAAAAAAAAGTTATCTTCTTTTCTATCAAGTCTGAAAACTGAGTAAGTAAAGCAGTCTATTTCTGTATTCCATTTCCTTAAGTCACAATATGTAGCTGTCCTTAGGAAGTAAGAGAGAAATTAATCAATTTCATCCCCATAATGTTTCCTCTTCTCTCATTTTCATTAAATATTTGCAGTTTATCATATAACTATTTAGAGGACAGTCAACCATACTGCTTATGCATAGCTGTTGGTTGGCAATATTATCACTATTGCTAGTCCAGATGAGACTAATAAAATACAGGTAGTCCTTGACTTATGAAGACAACTGAACCCACAATTTATATTGTTACATGAAACATTTGTTAACTGAGTTTTACCCCATTTTAAGACATTTTTGTCACAGTTGTTAAGTGAATCATTGCAGTTATTAAGTTAGTAAGATGGTTATTAAATGAAACTGGCTTCGCCATTGACTTTGCTGGTCAGAAGATCACAAATGGTCATCATATGATCTCTAGATAAATACGAAACAATTGCCAAGCATCTGAATTTTGATCATGTGTCCATGCAGATGCTGCAACGGTCATAAGTGTGAAAAATGGTCATAAGTCACTTTTTCCGCTGCCATTGTAACTTTGAACAGTCACTAAATGAATTGTTGTAACTCAAGGACTACTCATAAAGCAATCCAGAGCAACTTATATGTATTATTTCTTTACATCCTGCCCTTATTATTTTACAAATAACTTAAGGTAGAGACATATCCAACACACTTTCCTCCTCCTATTTTCCCATAACAACAACTCTGTGAGGTGGGTTGAACTGAGTGTGTGTCACTGGCCTAAAGTCATTCAGATGGCTTTCATGGATAAGGAGGACTTGAACTCATGGTCTCCTGCGCTCTAGCCTGGTATCTTAGCCACTAGACCAAACTGGCTCTTATTATAGTCCCAACACATATGGGAGGCCATCAGTGGAGGCATACTAGGCCTTTCTTATACATTCCTCCAGTTCTTGGTTTGGCTGCCCCAATAGCCAAGGACTTTATACCCTCCTTCAACCCACTCACATAGTTCCTCCACTTGGTTCACCTACCGCCAGATTATTTTGGATTAGTAGACCCATGTTCAGAAATATTCTAAGTGGCAGGTCACTTGTACAATGAAAGCATTATAAGGATTCTTCAGGCACCTCCATTCTACTTCAGAATCTGCCTGTCTACTGTACCTCTTCTCTGACTAAAAGAGAAAACAGACTGAACTCTGGTCAATTTCACCTAGGGTCTAATAATGCCCAATTGGATATACTCAAAGGAATGTCACTTGTGCTTTTAAAAAAAAATTCAAAAGACCCACTTAGCCTAATATGTCCTAGCCTAATGCTCTTTTCCAAAAAGCAATAAGCTTGTGAATAAAAGGAGCCCAAGTATCATTGACATTTTGGAATGTGCAGTCAAGTATCACTCTGCTGAAAGCCAGATGTTCAGTCTCTCTCACAACTCAAGCCAAAATGCCCTTACAGGGCAAGGCCTAGTGGTTAGAATGGAGCAAAAGTGCCCACAGCTGCCTCAAGGGGCCAAAAGAAACTGGATAAAACCCAATATCTATCTATCTATCTATCTATCTATCTATCTATCTATCTATCTATCTATCTATCTATCTATCTATCTATCCATCCATCTCCCTCCCTCCCTCCCTCCCTCTCCCTCTCCCTCCATCAACCCCAAAATCATAAAATGATTTTCATATAGCAAACTTATGCCAGGAAAAGGGGTAATGGCTACTTGGAACAGCTAAAGATGAAGTTAAGTTGCCTTGCAGCAGCTGAGAATGAAACAAAAGTGATCTCGTGAGGTACGTCCTTTAGCAAGAGGTTTTTATTAACTATAGTTAATAGGTCATAAGGATAAGCCATAGACTCCTATTCTCAGGTAAAATCATGTAAAGGATATTTGTTGAGGCTTTCTTTCTGCTTCTGCAACACCATTACATCTGTGTTCTTGTCAAATCCAATTGTACATAATACCATGTTCTGATTAAAATGTGATACAGGATCACATGGCAATGCATAAGGTTCTATTAGGTGGTATGGTGGAATCGACGGCTGAAAGGTAGGTAGAGGAAGTTAAGAGTTAAGAAATAGTTCAGCCTGAACTCCATAAGTGGGAGGAAGCATATGAGATCAAACACTTGGGTCTATATCAGGCTTTCTCAGGGGAAAGCAGGAAGTCTGGCAAGATTCTTGTGAAGTGATGAATTAACAATAAAGGTTTGACCTAAGCCTCAAAGCTGTTCTGGTTGCTTGCTTGCTCCTGACAGGTGGGGAAGTAGGAAGAACTGGAAGCTATTTTAATTTGAGAGTATACCATCATCACCTGTCATTAGCAGCTAAAACCATTGTAATTTTGGTACAGGTAAATAGCATATCAGGTTGCTTTTTTACTCACTCACAGAAATGACAAATCTAGATCATATTTCCAGGGAGGGAGGGAGGGAAGTGTTGTTAGTTAAAGATGCACACTTGTATATTCATAGAACCATCATCTTGTCTTGGGGAAAAAAATCCATGATTTTGTTGACTGCTCATTATTTTTGTTCGACCTGCATCAAAGGGAAGTTATGGGGGAAATTCTAAAACATATTCCACAACTTACAGGGAAATTATAATCGACATGAAAGATTACAAATAGTTTGAAGGAACATATTAAAAAGGGAGAAATATTACAAGAAAATGGTTAGGGAACATATCATGTGCTGCATAAGTAATTCAATGTAGCACATTGTCCTGAAGGTGAAAAAGTATTATCCATCCCTATAGAGATTTGTCTGTGTTATACAAAGGTCACTGCTGCAGGTAGGTTTAATCAACTGTAAAGACAGATTTTGCCTTGCAGTTGTTCAGCATGCTCATAAAATATATAAAAACTATATAGCAGAACTGGGGGAAAAACTCTAGGACATATTTCTATAATATAGGTTCTCCAAGTGGTTGACCTATAATGTTCAACACCCCCATATTCCACGTATCTGTGGATGAGAAAATTTCAGGTCAGCCCATTTTTGGAATATGACTTTTGACCTTTTGGAAAGTACCAAAAGTTGGAAAAGACCAGCCTAGAGAGAGACTCCTATTTTAAACCATTTCCAGTAATTTTCCCTATTGGTATTATCACCTGAAATAAAATGAAATGAAATGAAATAAAAGATGCATCAGTTTTAAAACATTGGTGGTTTACTTGTTAATTTTTAATATATTTATTGTTCACAGCCATACATTCAGGCTTTGATTTATATTGAGGCCAAATCCTGACCCTAAAAATGAAATCGTCCTTAGCTGTGGCATACTGAATTTCTGTGTCTGTTCGGTTATTATACAATATGTCCAGATATCAGTGATAGAAAGGCTTAGAGATCGAAGAGTATTATTATTAAAAAGATCCAAGACTTGGTCTCTCTTCTTTTAGAGATTAAACACTTTAAAAGAATAAATTCAGCGCTAGCTCCCCTTGCAACAATACAACACTGCAGTGATTCAAAAATCTATCTGAAGCTACCCGGCAGCTTTTCATGCTGAGAAGCAAGCATGCTAAAATACATTTCAGGAGGGAGAATAAAAGTGTTATCGTACCTAGAGTGACATCTCTGAATTATTGTTATTCTGCAGCAACAATCTTGCTTAGATGTCCCTTGAAAAACAGCAGGTATTTCAATTCTGTAGTTCTGCACCAGCATTCTAAAGAAGTGCCCTCCCCCTCCAAATGCTTCAACTCTGATTAGCCTAATTTTCCTTTATGAAACAGATGTTGGCAACTTACTTTCTCAATCCAGATTTTTTTTCTCTTTAACCATCCTTTTCGCAAGCCATCTGAGTTTTAAGTGATTTATGTTGCTGCCATACTGTGTTTCTATTCTGAACCTTTCCAGGATGTGAAATTGGGTACAGAATGTTGGTGTGCATCTTGCTCTTTCTGACTTCATGTTTTCTCAACTTTGTCCTCTATTCATTCCAACTTCACATATTCAGTGGAACAGGTGATCTGTACTCCTGTTTGTCTGGATACTTCTCCATATCTATAGCGCCATACCCTGTTTGATATATTTTCCATCCAGATTGTCTGTAGAGTTATAAAACAATTGCCCCAAGCATGAAAATAATTAATGCATGCCTGTTGGGTCAAATTGCTTGCTTACTTAACCTTCCACTACTTTCAGTTTCTGTGTTAGCAGATAATCAGATGCCATAAAGGGACTTATAAAAGTCACAGTTATAACAATCTCTCACATTTGGTGAGAGACAAGTTCTCTGAGGATGGACTCCAGCACAAGTCCTACACATCAGAAGACTAAACCTCTGGTCCTAGTGACTTACCCCGATTGGATCCTGGTAACTGTCTTTTTCAAAGAAGCTCTGTTCCATTCTCCACTATGGTTTTTCTTTCTCCCTCTCAAGTGGATCAGCATTTCTTGTTTCAAAGACCATACTCAAACCTTTGGCTGTTTTTAGAGGGAATTTAGAGGGATTTTTTTAATTTTCTAAAGGGATGCTTTTGATATTTCTGCAAACTTCCTTGTTTTCTATTAACTCCCATTTCTGCAGACATGGATGTTGGCTACATAACAATTGATATTAAGGAATGAGTAATTAGCTGACTGTATAATACAGTAGCATAGGCTCTCTTGCACTGTAACTCTTGGTGATTATATGGAAACATTCATGTAGTTTCTTGGTAGCAGTAATGTGAAAATGGTTTGCCATTGCTTTCCTCCAGGTGATTCCCTGCCTGGTTTATAGCATGCACTTATCTTGGTTTCCCACCCAAAAAGGGACCCTCTGTCAAAATTCACTACATGTGCCCATTGCTGTGGCAAGCAAATGGCACAAGTTGGGTTAGTCTCCCTGCATCTACACCCAACATGATACATAGCTTAGAAAATGATAATGAATCAAGCCCTTGAGTTGGGCTCAATTTCTTTCTTTTGAAGTGCTGGATAATAAAATATAAAAAACAGCATTTTTATAAGTCAAGAGTTGCTCCAGACATTACAGTTTCTTTCCAGATCCAGGACATCTTGGGAGATCTCCATGGAGAAGCATCGTCTGTTAAAATCATCCACTAGAGATCTACAGTAACACTTCTCAGCCTTTTGGGTAAGATCAAGTGTATAGCGCAGTAATATGTGATGAGTTTCCATTTTGTCTACCATGTTTATTTATTTATACCTCTGCAGAGGATTTAGTCCCTACTCTTCAAGCAGGCAGATTCCCTGTATGGCTTATAAATCAATAAAAAAGCAGAATTTTTTTTTTCTTCTGGTTAAAAATGCATCCCAAATTTTAAAAAAATCTCAGATGCCAGTCCTTAATGTTGCTCTGTATTAGCCAACCAAGAAAACATGTCTCACCCCCAGATCTAAAAAATACTTATTTTATTTTCTATTTCTATTGTATTTAATCCTAGGAGTAGGATTTGTAGGTTCACTGAACTGGGCAGATCCTTAGCTAAAGGATCGCCTGAACCCGTACAAACCGCAGCAGCCCACCTTTGTTTCTCATGTCACTCATGGCTTAGTTACTTCTTAATTGGGCTCTTGTACATTTCTTGAAGCACCTGTATAACATTTTACACTGAGACATGCAATGGTTGCTGGTTGTTGGTTGGTACCTTAAAAGCCCTTCGTGGTTTGAGGCTGGATATCTGCAGGACCATTTTCTCCCATTAAAGCTGCCCAACTAAGAATTATTAACACTGAGCAGTGGCCATGGGTAAAGAAAGCCAGAAGATGGCCAGTTTAATCAGCTGGAAGAGACTTCCAAGATAATAAAATCCATCCAGAGAGTCTGAATTAAAATAAACTGTAAAGGAAAGTCTGATCTGGAGTTTTGAGAGTAGACACTACATTTGCCCTCATCCCCATGTCTTTCAGCTGACTGGCTTGAGGCTTATGTAAAATTGGCAGTGGTTTAATGAGACCTTCAGATCATTTTGAATAACAGCTGGATGCTCAAAAGCTGCTTCATAGAAAGGTTAAGACAGCTGACTTGGGTTCATGTATCCTCTCAGATATTCTTTCTGCTAGTGCTGCATACTTCTAAAAACGGCAGGCTGATCACATGCAGAGTCATCCCAAAAGAGTCAGCCTTGCCAACGTTTCAGAGGAAACCTAATCCTTTGTCTTCACATTTACTTTAGAATTTTTCCTTCCCATATTTAACTTTCTTCTGTTAATTTGCCACAGAAAATGATTTGCATCAGGAAATTGTATAGGCAATGTTGAAACAAACACTAGTTCCCAACCATGACATTGTAAAGATAACCGGCTTGGATGAAATAATTTTTTTTTAAAAAATGCAAGAGAATAGCTTTCTCAATTATGCTAATGAATCGTTTAGGTTGCTTCAAATTAGAAAGCAAAACTATGCACTACGAAGCTTGAAGCAAAGCTAATCAAATCTTTAATGCATTGTTTAAAACTTCAATGATTTTAGATTACAAAGATGGTAAAGCCCACTTTGGGTGGTTATCATTTAAAAATGCCACTAAATGTATTACAGGAACAAAACAAGTGGAAGAACTATTAACATTCATAGAGGGGTGGGAAAACAATGCTAATGTTCACAAGCATTCTAATTTGAAATTTGTTCCAAGCCAAAAAAAAAAAGCCTTTTTACTTTCAAATAAATGTCTTTGTAATTGATGTGAAAAAGTCACTTTGCTCATAATTTAAATGGATATGAAGAGTGTGAACAGGAAGTATGAAGGGTAAACGTGGCATGAAGGACTAAAATGGGAAGAATGCCTGCTAAAGGTACTTGTTTAAAAAAACGTGTATTTGTCTCATGCGGCCTATTAAAACCACCTCATTAAACTGTATGAAGCAGATGCTTGAGGCAGAAGTTTTCAGGAGCATTGTGAAAGGGCAGCAAACTGGTTCTTTCTTAAATTGTTATTGTGTTTTTATTGTCTGGGATGGAGAAAGCTGTATGTGGAATAATATGTCCCATGTGCCAAAATAACTTAACCAATGTTGTGCCTTTGATTGGCACAGGTTGTCCAGATTCAGGTGTTAGGTTGTTGGTATTTTTTCATACCTTGCTAACTGAGATACCAGGGGATGAATTAGAATTTTACACCATCTAGCACTGAACCCTGACCTATAACCTTAGAAGAATCTCTAAGATACCTGGTTGACATTACAGTATCTGTATTTTTACCTTCTGGAACAATTTTGCAGCTTGGAGTAGAAAACCCTTTAAAACAATATCAAATAATATAGCAATCCAGGCCACAAATGTAATTAATTTTTAAGGTTTTTTTTCTTGCAAAGCTAAAAGGGCAAACATAAACATTACACTTTCCAAAAGCTATGGCAAGTGAAAAGTCAAAATCACACACATATTTGATTGACTCAACAAGTTGGCAATAGTCTTCTTTTGCTGTTACTGAAAAATATGAATAAGTACAAGTCAAGGGTAAGGTGAAATTATATGCTCTGAAACATTAATTTAATTGCCATTGTTCTCTAATGCAAATCTATAATTGTAAGTGAAATTGATCATGCAGTCCTATCTACCTGCCAAATTAAAATAATACCCTGAATATATTTTGTATCTGTTGAAGTCAAATCTAGATCATAATGGTGTCATGATAAATGTTAATGTTAAGCAAAACTTAATTTAACTGATAATGAAGGAAAGAAGTCTGTGTTTACGGTATTTCCTCCAAATATTTAAAAAGGCTCAACCCTCGACAGATGTAGTCTTAGACTATCACATTTATTTTTGGATATTCTATTTTTAGTTTACTTTTATTCTAATCTACAGCCCAATATTCTCTATAAATCTTCTGTTTAACTCCTTAACTAGCCCAATCCTACTTAATTTATGAGCTCAGATAAGGTAGAACAGATGATGACACATTTTCATTTAATAAAAACCCCAATAATATTAAATTGGCAGCATACAGCAAATATTCCATAGATGTCAGCATAAGTTTTTACATAAATTGAAGCAAATGTCTGTCCTTAATTTATTAAAGTTGTGACATGGTCACAAGGTTCCAGTTGAATTAATTAATCAATTACATGAAATATCTCTACTTAGAAAGCATTTAAAGCACTAGTTAATTAAGCACTCTCAGCATCTAACCAAATTACCCTCATTGCTATCATCAAAAAATTCAAAGGGAAGAAGAAACATTTGCATTTGGATTTTTATCCCCTTGGCACTTGGCAAAGGCTTCCTAATAAGGGAAAAGTGATTATTAGAAAAGGATTTGTGTGCATGCAATTAATCAATTTGGATATATCCTTACTGGGATGTTTTAGTGATAGTTGTGAAGATTATGTGTGAAGATTGCCTGCTTATAGGCTAAAATGTCTATGATTCACCACTAATAACATTTATGTTGTTTTTCTGTAATTGTGGACCATCAACTACAGGAATAACTAACCCTAACCCTCACTGACCTTGGCAGACCTTTAAAAAAAAGTTAGAATCTGATCCAGCAAGCATATGGATAATAGGTGCAATGTCCTGGAAAAAGATCCAGCAACTATCTGGGTAATAAGCTCAACTATCCTGGAAGAAGGGAAACTACTTCTATTTTGTTGCCTAAAACTATGTGGATGTTGTCCACAAAGTCCCCAAGATTCAAACCAGACTCAAGTGATCCCATCTTACATTTGATTCAAACCCTTAAAGCAAAACTCTCCATTTTTCCCCATTGGTTAACTGTGCCTTTGGAAGACACACAAGGAGTAATAAGCTTCAAAATAAAAATAGTATTGGAGGCTGACATTATGGTTTGTAACAAGCTAGCATTCTCTAATATTTTTTCTGTAATTTGTAAAAAGCAGTTAAAATTTAAACACCAAGATGGGCAGCAATTCTGGCACGCTTACAAAGGAAACTGTTTGTGAGCACCACCCTAGAAACTCCACTGAGTAAATAGAAAGGAAATGAAACACGTCACCCAAATTCATCTATTCCCAAACTATTTGGGCCTTTGTTGAGTGTGCATGTATCACATGCAGAAAAACTTCTGTGGCTCTTAAGCATATTAACTAAATAGCATTTTAAAAGTGGAAATTAGTTATAGTTAAATCAAGAAGGAAATTCTAAGTAAAGGAAGGAAGTGAGACCACTTGGCTACAAACCATTGCACTTGCAGAAAATGGAATATTGAGGTGTGAATATTAAAGTATTTAACAATATCCTATATTATCTAGTGTTGAGAAAGATTCTTGGATAAAATATAACATCTAAACTGCAAAAGATCTCCAGTAACATGTTGAGTGCCATCCAATTGGAGGGAGCCTATCATCCAACTCTATATTGTCAAACATTTTATATTGCATTTCCATATAATTTTCTTGCAAATGAAAGAATGGCTGACCATTGCCTTCCCTACATAGTAT